AGCTGAAAAGGTTGAAGCCAATCTTTTTGATTTTTATGAGAAATCAAAAAAAGTCATTAATTTCGAAATATTTGTGTTGTAATAGATGTGATGGAGAAGAAGGGTGCTATCTGCGTGAACGTTGTAAGAATTGCAATCAAACAGAACACAAATTGACCACGGAGGGTTGTATAAAATACTGTCAAGAGTGTAATGAAACGTGGGGTGAAACGAAAGGATGCGATCCAAATGTCGAACATGATATTATCTTTAAAGAGGATCCCAATGATATGAAGCTGGATTGACTTTTGTGATACGATATGCGTCATAATTAGAAAATGATTTAGCCGTAATATAGGAAATCAATAAAAACGTTTACGAGATCGCTATAAATATACTATAAATCTGCCAAAATCGGTTTATTCTGATTCCTATACGGTAAGTGGACAAAAGTTATCAAACACTTTTTAAGATGATCTTTTTGATATTATTAGTCACCGCTCACGTAGTACGTGGATTATTCGCCACCGCTCGGCTCTTTACCCTTTACAGTAAGGAAGGCACGGACTTCCTATAAAATTTTTGTTATAGATATTAAATGTGTAAAAATTTGTTGATCCAACTCCGATAAAATTTTTATGTTGTAAAAAATACTAAGTTTATAATTTAAGAGTTTATCTAATTGAATCAGTATTTGAGAAAATCTGATCAAATGAAAATTTGAAAAATATATAATTAGTTTACATATTTACCATATATACAATGATTATGTTATTTTTTGAATTATTATTTAATTCAATTTTTTTCAAAGTTATTAATTAAATTTGAAGGACATTTTTATATTTTATTGATTTGATATTTATCAAAAAAGATATATAAATTTCATTTAGTAAATATTAATAAAATAGTTTTAACAAATATTTATAAAATAATTATAGTTTGTAACAGTTTTTGGACAAATTAAAGAGTATTTTTTTTAATTGATGATAATAAACAATTATTTAAAAAAAGCTAAAGTTTATATAATTATTTTAAAGATAAAATAAATTAAATTAAATTAATTAAAGTACAGATTAATGAAACTTTAAAATAAGCTTTTTTTATTTTTTAATAATAGAAATTTTAAAAAATCATTTTTAATTTAATATTAAACAATCCATTTTCTTTTCATTTTTAATTATTATTAAAAGTAAAATTTAATGATTATTATTCATTGCTATTCAATATAATCTATATACTCTTTATAGAATATAATATTAAATATGTAAATAAATATGTAATATATATACTGTATTAATTTTTAATGATTAATTTTTTTTATTTTTAATTAAAGTATTATTTTATTTCAAATTAAATTTATTAAATTTTAAATAAATTAATAATTTTTTAAATTATATCTTATATTTTTATTTAATTGATTAGTAAACATTATCCAGCATATACTATTATTTAATTTACACATATATTTTTTGTATTACAAAAATAACTATCTATAAACTATTTTACATTATATTAAACTATATCAACTTTTATTTTCATATCAGTTTGTTACTATTAATCTTACCCAGAAGTATAAATTATAGACATCAGATCAAGATTTATATAAAGTAAATTTTAAAATATTTAATTTTGTATAAGAAATATTTTAATTAAATATAATAAAAATATATATACAACAATTAACTTTAAATACTGTATTATATCATAAATAACATAGAAATTCCACATAGGCTTAATAAACAAAAATGGCATGCAGCCTGATTTAAAGTAAAATAATAATAAATAAATAAGATAGAAATAAAATTTTAAATTGTTAATTGGAATAATCAAAATTAATTAATTCAAATTTTTTTTGCTAATCAAAATATTATAATAAAAACCTTACATCTAATGCCCTTATCCAATAAAAAAATAAAAATAAAAAAATTAATTTATATTTTATACAAAGTATTTTTTTCTAAAAAATCAATCAATCAATTAATATTAAATCAATTAAAATAATAATAAGGTAATTTCTGAAATCAAATACAAATTTGACTGGCCGGCTTCAAACAAGCCTTAACTTAAATCCGCACCGACAATACGAATGTTATTCAGATTTCGGCCATAAACACCTTCCAGCTTTTTCAAAATTGTGACGCGGCAATATCGAAATTAATGACTTTTTTTGATTTCTCATAAAAATCAAAAAGATTGGCTTCAACCTTTTCAGCTTTTTGTACACCTTTTGGACTTCCTCTCTGTTGTACAATATATGCTCGAGCAATCCAAGGCTCAAGTATTAAGATTCTTCAACCAGTGCGAATCTAGCATCCTTACAAATCGACCTATGGATTGCTTGGGCAACAAGATATTCAAATAAAGATTTATGAACAAATCGATATTGGTCCAATTACGACTTAAAGGAAAATCATAACACAAGATTTGTCTTTGAATCTGTCTCTCAAGAATCTAGCGTGCCAATCCGGTTGATTTTCTATACCATATGCGTCGGAATAACTCTATTATGACTTTAAATATTTCAACTGCCAAGCCTTCGTTAAATCGCATGCAATATTGTGTAAAATTATTTTTATCTAACTTTTAAAAACCCTTTCTTCATAATCATCCAATTGAATGACTTAAACGGTCTTGGGATCGCTCAAATCATTTTCCCACAAATTTGTCATATAATATTAAACGTGTTATACTTTTGCAGAGTTCTTATTCTCTTCCGAACTAAGCCAGGTATGACTTGCATAGAATCTTTTAGGACAAATAGATTACTTACTAACTGATCTGAATGGGAAATACGCTGCACAAAAGCTTCATTAGTTTGCGCATCCCTTAGAGTCTTTTTAGCGGCTTATTTTTTTTTTGATGTACTGTGAATTTCCCTTTAAAAAATTTGTTATCCATATTTCCTGAAAAAGTCTAGGATTATGATTAGGAGTACTTTTGTAGATACTTCGTACTTAAATATTCGAGTCGACAACTGATAATAACCTTGGCAGAGTCTATCCACCCAATATAAACACAAACTTGAAGTTTTGTTTAAGTTTTCGATAATTTCCCCTTGAAAAGCATATTCCTCCTAAATACTTTGAATTATTCTCTCGGTAGGATTTTCAATAGTTGGAAATGAAACAAATATGGGAATAAGGTTACCTAACTCGTCTTTCGAGGAATATTCTATCTAGCAACGTCGAGCAAGGTGACGGTTGAAAGTAACTTGCCCGCCCCAGCTTCACCTAAGAGTAATATTACCTTTTTTTTCGAAGCTAAGAAAGTGCCAACCTTGGCCTCTAAATCAAGGGGAACCGTGGCATTTAGGTGTCAATTTCCTTTTGGTAGCACATACAGGCCTAATGCATCCTCAATCGCTTCATCTTGTTCTATTTCATTTAAGTATTCTTTTTTAAATTTGTCTAATGACACCAGCAATTTAGTGGCATTTGACACTAAACTCTGATAATTTAAGATGAGCTTCGATTATCAATCCTGAATTGGCCGCATGTTTCTTTGTAGAATTTATATGCGGCATAAACTTGGCAGAACTGTAAGCATTTTACTTAGTAGCTAATTGATCAAGCATCGATTTAGCATAATTTTTTAAATTTTCATCGTCGTTATTCGCTAACTACCGCAATATTACAAACATCCATTCTTTAACTTGTGGATACCGGCCCCACTGGATTTCGTTTTGACAAAGATCACCCCAGAACCTAAACGCTCCTTGCTGTTTCTTCAAATCTCGTTGTGTACAGGCAATATGTCCTAAGCGTTGACACGGGCTCATTAGAAACCATTCATTCTTATTATAAGGACTCTGACGAACAGCTGCTCGAGTTTTACTAACTGATTTTCTTGAAGAAAGATATCTATAAATAATAGAGCCAAATACCATTGTTTTGCCTGTCTAACTTGACGAATATCTTTGATTCCTTCTTGTAATGCTTAATCCATCTCGATTACTGTTCAAATGCCTTACTAAAATCTTTAAATGTTTCTAATATATAAATTTTCAATTACGCTAACTAAATTTAGAGTTCCGGTTACTAATTGAAAGTTCGACGCATAACTTCTTGCCATGATAACATACGATAATGCCTGACAGGCTTTTAGCTCTTTAAACTGTTAATACAAGGGTGCATGCAATTTTCACGATTAATACTTATGACATTGTCCGCACCATTACATCCAATAGTGGATAAATTGTTTGCAATAGTTCACTGAGTTGGATCCCGTTGTTTGGCCTATGTAGTTCCTCTAAGCGTTTGTATAATACTTCTAACATGGCCACTAAATGTGTTTCATTTATCTCACCATTATTCAAAAGCGAGTCGGGCACGTTCCAAATCGCTTGAGATAAGATAAACGAATGCTCAGAACGTAATGATGTTACGTTTCTAATTAGCTGGATACTTTGTTCTAGTAATTCTAGACGTTGAGGTTATCATCTCTTCAGGTTTAATGTACTGAAAAAAATAGTCTAATAACATCAAAAGCCAAAGCTATTAATTGTTGATTTTGTTCCGGAGTATGTTATTAGACTGCGGATTATAAACTAAATCCTGAATGCTGCGAATGTCCTTTACGTCTTCGATCTTCGAATACAACTCGAATATCGACGGCGGATCTTGGGTAAAAAAACCCTATTAAAGGGATTTATGATACATTTGGACTGGTAGAAGTGCTTTCTATAGATACGCTTTTTGTTTGCAAGGGTTTTTTTAAAGTTTCACGTTCGTTCAATGCCTCGCGATACTTCGGCCCATACTTTTGAGCTTCTTTATAACAAGTATCTGCATTATCCATTTCTCCTAAACATTTATAGACGTCGCATGGGCTTTGGCTAAGCGCTTTTCTGCATCATGATCCTTCAGCCTTAAATTCATTAATTGCTTTTTGATAGGCATCTAGTGCTTCCTTTAGATAACCATCGAATTTTTGTTTTCTAGCACTTGCTAAGTAGGTTTTTCCCTTCTTGTAATGTTTGTCGAACATATTTATTTAAATATTTTGATATTTTGAGGGAAAAGATTAATTTAGTAAAGGCGTCTTCAGTAATCAATTATTATTGTTTTCAAAAAATTTTTGCCCAAAAATGGAACCATGATATATGGGGAGCCCGAGTCCGCGTAACGATCGTGGGATTGGGTTCAGGTAAGTCATTATGAGGTCATAAGTCGGAAATATGGGAATTTAGCGAGTTTTGGATATTTCAGACTACACGCTCAAGACTTTTTTTTTAGAGATTACCCGAAACAATAGAATTATAACAATAATGAATTTAGTCAGACTTACATAATTGATTGTCACGCTA